GAACATATATACACGTAACAATAACTATATAAGTGATCCATTGTATTTACTTTAACTGATATATGTTCTCTTTTGATCAAATTCGTTTATGATTTGGGTTTATTTCCAACACATTTATTCAAGTATATATGTATATGTAAGAATTTTACATAATCCCTAAAACACAACCTGACTTGGGGGGTTATCAGGTTTCTATAACTCACCCATTCATACCGATTTGGCTTTCACTCAAAAGACAGAGGAGATAAGGAGAAAAAACGATTACTCTGTCTCTTTATATATATATAAATCATACAAGCCTAATCAATACTTTATCTAGTTACACTATTTTGTTTTTAAAGATTAAAATATGGTTCTATCTGTGATTGGGTGTTTTTTTCTAACTGTCCTTTCTGGCATATTTCATTTTATCAAATAAAATCTGCAACATTACTATTTTAACCTGAAGATTTTATTTGATAAAATATGTCAAAAATCCATGAACCTCGTACTTCGAGTTTGAAAGACATGTACCTTTGAATAACTTTATTCGTGACCATAGATTTTAAACTGTCGGTGCTTTGGCTTTCATATACAGATGTATATTTCTTATGATGATACCTTTTTCATTTATCTACTGAGTATTTTATCTCTTTTTCATTCCCCTGTATCGATCCCTGGCCCGATACTTGGATTTAAGAGTTCAAGTTATTTGCTAGCAAGCAATTATAGGGAAACATTTTTCAACAAATTATTTTCGAAAATGTATTCAATTTCACAGTAAATATCTTTTTTTAATTTACATTTTTTTTTAAAGAAAGTTCGATTACTATTGTGATTCAAATTATGATTCATTGGCCATTATTAAAAAATTTAATATATTGAAGAATTTCATGAATTGACTTTTTTTCTGACGAAGTGATTATTTAAGGAATATTAAATACTTCTTCCAAATTTTACTTATAATAGCTAAATTCGGAAATAAATATTTTATGTCATAAATAAATCTGTATATAAATTTTTATAGAAGGTATTTCTCTCGTTTCTCCTTTTCCTTTCTTTTCTCTCTCTCTTTCCCCTTCTCTCTCTCTCTCTCTCTCTCTCTCTTCAATAAAAGTGTTTAAATACACATATACATGTATTTAAGGAATAACTGTTTAATTTTTGAATTTCATACTGTGATCAATCGAGTGGCTTGCATGATAATTTGCATAAACGCCGAAGGCCGAGTCATTTCGGAATTTATTTGCAAAAGTTTTAAATTTATAATTATAGATATATTTGGATCGATGAAACGTTTAATTAAACAAACCCCATATCCATGTCAGGTTCTTTTCTCAATCGTTTTTTTATTATGTATATCTTAATTAAAAATTTTACAGGAAGAAATAATTTTGCCCTGTAGGCTTTACTGGGAAGAAACTTTGTAGGAAGTGGATGACTGAAATATAAATTTCTCTAAAGCCAAATGTTCTACACATTGGAAAGGAGGAAAAAGGAAGAAAAAACGGCTAGTGTTATAAAATAAGAAAAAAAACTATTTTCCTAATCAGTTTTCTTCTGTTTTAAAGAAAGGAAGAATCCTTGCATTTTCCAGCCTTTTCTGAAATTAGAGTGCAGAGGATATTTAATTTTTTTTTCAATGTACTAACTTCATTGTTCTACAATAATACCACACACTGCAGAATATTACTTGTATTTCGCGACTGTTGCACTGTGACGGTTTTGTTTCTACTGATTAAGTAGTCAGGGATTTCTATAAAAAAAAAAATCCTGAAACGAAAACAGAAAAAAAAGAAATATCTGCATGCCCAAATATTAAAGCTACAAAAAGGCAATTAAGGAAAGAGGAATAGAAATTAAATTCGTTCATATTCAATACCATGAAATGAATGATCGCGATGTTTTCTGCTAACTCCAAGGACGGAAATCTAGATTAAATTCAGTTATCGAAAATAAAATTATTCAGGTTTAAATAAAATAGACTAAACTTTTGGACGACATACTAAAAGTAGAATAACAGAGATCGAAGAAAGGTGAAAATAACGTAATGCTGTTTTACCAACTTATCTTTTTTTTATTTGATAGCAAAAGATGCTTAAATTTGAACGCGTTGTTACAACGCTTTAAAAATTAGGCACTTTGAAAAAAAATTTATATTTTCTTAAAGCGAGCAAGCGAGAGCACTTTGAAAAAAAAAAATTTTTTTTCAAAGTGCGTTCTTATAACCATATTTTTTCACTTTGAAAAAAATATAAAGATTGATCAAAATGTTTTTAGCCAATTTTAATTTTAAATAACAGATCCTGATTAATAACATTTATGATAAAGTCACTGTAGCCAGCCTACATGAATGACGATATTAAAATGTGTGTAAAAAAAAGGGAAAATTATAGGGTCTTGAAAAAAAGGCCCGAATGAAAAGCAACCGGTTAAAGGTCACCTGATCACACAACAACTTTCCAGTGATTAAATTTAGATTCCTGTTTTAAGCCAGATGCTATGGCATACACAATTTTAATACATCATTGATCAATCATAATTACACTTAGCAGTTGCTTAATTAACACTTAATAGAATATGGCAAGGCAAAGGAACGAAAAAAAATCATTTCAACTAATCAATTATTTTAGGCAAAAATAAATTTTGTTCGAAAAAATTATTTAAAATTATCACACATTGCAAATTTTTAAAGGCATTTGTATCTTTTCAAAAATTATTATATTTACATCCAAGGATCAGATTTCAAACAATTCATTCATTTTCAGAAAATTCATTGCGTAAATCACTGCACAACTACCCCTGACCCTGGGGCCTTGAAATTAACAATTCTTGATCATGGCTGTTGGTTCATAATTATATAGGTTAGTTCAACTGCTTAATACCTATAGAGAAGAAGATTTTCACTTTAAATTCATGAATTTTCAATATAATCATATAAATATAACACAATAAAATGTCCCCGTTTGTTATTGAGGTCCTAAAATTTATAATTTTGGTACAGACACTCTTGCTTATCATAAAAAAAATCTATTTAATATCCAGGATTAGAGAAGATTTTCAAAGAATTCATGTATTTTCCCTATATAACAACTAAAGAAACCATTACACCAGAACCCCTGAAATTACTTTTACAATTTTGGCAGAGGCAAATTGTCATAACTATTAAATAAATGTTTATTTAATAACCAGGAGCAGAGAAGAACCTGTTTTCAAAGAAATAATGCATTTTCACTATATACTTATTTAGCCCCACCCTAGCAAAGCATTTTAGGGCCATGAATATTGAAATTTTGGTATTACATCGATGTGATTACAATATAAATGAGTTTGACTGCTTGATGTCCAGGAAAAAACAATGTAAGATTTTTAAAGATTGCATTAATTTTAGTGGTTTTGGCCCCACCCCTCAATATGATTATCTACCGAGAATAGGGATCATGAAATTCACAATTTTTGTTCCCCAATTACCCTTAGATGCCTTGTGACAAATTTGGTTGAAAAGTTATGCAAGAAGAAGCTAAAATGTTTGTTAAAAAATTAATGAGCGTAAAATATAGTTCATTGATTATTGAATTCATATTATGAAATACGAATTAAGTTCATTAATTCGTTTTATTTTTTTAAACTTCTACTCTGATCTTTGATGTATAAAAGGTGTATATGGGGCATTAACCCAGCTTCAAACAATTAGCATTTATCATAATAAAAAGTTTTGATTGTTCAAAACCATGAAAATTCTTTCTCTCTCATACATTTTACTGTACTTAAAAATTTCTAGTTTTCATCTGTTTTTATTAACTCTTTATTATTGAAAGTTTTCAACTTCATAATAGTTAGGTTAATACATAATTATATGAATACTTTGAGTATAGCATATACATCGAGACTGGGCGAAGGGCCAGGGGTTACATTGAATGTCTGGTTGCTCTTGCCCTCCCTTACATTGGACACATATATACATCGTATAAGCATTGAAAATGCAGCGTACCCTTTTTAGGACAATTGAATAAGGTAGTTTTTTATGTTTGTATTGGAAAGATAAAGATTTGATACTGAAAGATCTTTTACCTTCTCCTCTTTTCCGACGGCAAAATCAATATTTTTGAGGTTAGGGTTAGGCTTTTTTTTGAAAAATAAATAAATAAAATATTTCCATGACTAAAATATTTTTTTTTTTTGAAAATGCGTTAATGTCTCCATGATAAAACATATTGATGTAACTATTAACGCACTTTGAAAATTTTTTTCAAAGTGCGTTGAGTCGCGAAATTTAACGCACTTTGAAAATTTTTTCAAAGTGTGTGGTATTGTTGTTTTAACGCACTTTGAAATTTTTTTTCAAAGTGCGTAATTTTTTCAAAGTGCGTTGCCACAACGCGTTCTTCCGATTATTTTTTTAACATTTTTTACAACACAGATATATTATAATGCGCTGACTCTCAGAGGAAAATTTTTTATAGGAAATGAAAGTACTAAATCTCTACTTTATGTTGATGATTGAAATAGGACGTAAGGACTTGGTCGGTTAATTAGTATATTGCCAGGGCCATTTTATGGAGTACGTGATTCTACCTCTTTCTGTTCTAATTTTTAACTATATATTGTAAGAAATAAATGAATATGCCGAGTCAACAATATCGATAAGTTTGAACAGTTTCTACTTCTTCCAGAATAAAGCATGGCGGATGTATTCAATATGATTAGAATATTTATTAGAGTTAAATTCAACATACAAGGAAATAATATTTTTATAACATTATTTCTTCAAAACGTTTGGTAATTTGACCTTAAGGGAAAAAATTTAAGAATTTTTTTAAAAATAAGCAAACATCATGAACGCGAATGGTCCTTGTTTCATACCAATATACAATCTCACTTTAGCACATGCTTGAAGCAGAACATACAATATTACATATTACAAAGGTTAAGAGTATAAGGCGTGGTAGGGAAGAATTATATATATTTTTCCTGTTAATCTGGCAGTAATTTAAGTAATTGATCCTCTACTTTCAGGAACGAGGCTGGGTGCCGGAAGCGGCAATAGTTAGTGTATGTATGTGTATAATGATAATTGTCTACACCTTCACTTTTGTGCTTTATATTTCTTAGCCGTACTTTTCGACCTAAGGACTGAAACAAATTTGTCATATCTTTCGTTCATTTGGACTTATTCTTCTCTGTAGAACAGTCATTGCCAGTGTTAACTTTTAAGAAGAAAATGAGCCTCTGTACGACACTATCGTTTTGCCTTACCTTGGTATGTTTGGGACAGTCCCTACAATTTAGCTGCTCTTCCGAGCCAAAATGCACATGTTATTACGAAAGAGGGATGCTGAGCGTCAATTGCAGCTCGCTTAACCTGACTCACCCACCGAATTTTCAACAAAATGTTAGATGCATCTATCTAAACAACAACCGTCTTACGGAAATACCTACCGACATGCCACAGGAGATTGTGCGGCTAGATATAAGTGAAAATAACATCCGAAATCCCCAAAAGGCTGTTCTGTCAAGATACAGACATTTGGAATGGTTAAATGTTGAACGTAATTGTTTATGGCAAAAATACAAGGAATGGCCATCACGCTTTTTCGAGAACCTGACAAAACTTGATACTCTTCTCATGAAGGATAATTGTTCAAAAATATCTTATGATACGATCAAGGAGATGAAGTACTCTAAAAAATGCTTTTATGGACTTTCTTCATTACGGCATATCGAGCTGAATGGATTAGGTGGCCATAACTTTGAGGAAGCATTTGAAGCAAGTAATTCCATTGAAGTTCTTGTATTTTCGGTAACTGGTGGTTATTGTGCTCTGAATAGTATCGAGAGCCATACAATTAAAGTTTTCCAACGTTTGAAACATCTAACTTTATTTAACTGTAATATCAAGCACATACAGAAAGGAGCTTTTGCACACTTAAATGATCTCGTATCTCTGGATATTTCAGAAAACCCAGAGCTTACGCTATCTGTTTTAAGCAATATTACTTATGACCTGCAGTATTCAAAAATCCAGACTTTGTTCGCAGATAGTCTTCATTGTAAACTCGGACTTTCTCTGCTACTAGGAATAAGCCATATAAAATATCTTAGAAATACGTCTCTGAAAGAGTTGTCACTGGCAAAGAACAGAATAGGCATCATTGAGCATCGACTTCCGGAATACCTTCCCAAGTCATTGAAATATATAAATATTGGTGATAACCCGCTTTTATTCGGGTCCTATGTTTACGAAGGTGTCTTTCTTTCAAATCTAGAAAGGTTAAGCATTGACCATACTGAAAGGGCTACACATTTTAGAACAGATTGTAATTATAACTCTAACAGTTGTGACAAGGTAAGAGATCTAAATGTCAATGAAACATTAAATGAAGGCTCAAAACCATTGTTTTATCCATCATGGTTTCAACAATTACCCCCAAAGCTAAAGTATCTTAGCCTGGCTAATCAGAAAATATACCTTCCTTTCTTGAAGAACATTGGATTTAGATCAAAGAACTCGTTAACACATCTGCATTTTCAAGGAAATCTGTTATATAATATACAGGAATTTAGTGGTCTCCAACACCTAAAGCACCTTGATCTGTCAAATAATTTTTGCTTCAACATTAGCAGAGAGTCATTTCGAGATATAACCGGCTTGTTGTTTCTGAATTTATCCAAAAATTTGTTAGGAAAGGAATTACAGCGTCAACATAAAGAACATGTATTTGACCAACTCCATAATTTAAAGATACTGGATTTGTCATATAACTGGATAACTCTTTTGCAAAAAGATTTTTTTGCCTCGGTGTCAAACATAGAACACCTCAACTTGAGTAATAATGAATTAGAGAGCGTCACCTTTGACTTGTCAGCTGCATTAAAATTGCAGAGCATAGATTTGTCTTCAAATAAAATTGTAATGTTGGACTCAAAATCGATGGACTTTTTAGATGCTTCTAGGGAGAAACAACTCTCTATCCAGATGTCAAACAACCCATTACAGTGTACGTGCCGAAGCATTGAGTTCCTAAAATGGATGAAGGCATCGTCAAACAAAAACTTCGTTGACCGAGAAAAATACACATGCGTATTCACAGACGGAAAAAAAATTGAAATGCGCAATTTGGCACATATAATTTTGTCTTTAGAACTTCAATGTGCGTCATTTACAACAACAATAGTGATAGTAACCATTATTTTACTGGTCACAATTATTCTTGTATCCATTGCGATAATGTATAGGTATAGATGGAAATTGCGATATTTGTATTACGCTGGTAAGAGAAGTTATAGAGGATATTCAAGTATCTTAGATACAGGGAGAGGGTATCAATTTGATGCTTTCATTTCGTACGCTGAAAGTGAAAGAGGAGAGTTTATACCAAACCTTTTGAAGCTAGAAAAGGAAAACAATTTCAAATTCTGTATACACAGTCGTGACTTCATAATTGGTGTTGATATAGCAGAAAACATAACTAATGCAATTCACAATAGCAAGCGTACTGTCTGTTTTCTGAGTAAAGCTTTTTTGGAATCTGAATTTTGCATATATGAGGCCCAGATGGCTCGAATGGAAAGTATTTACAGAGGAGGAGAAACAACATTATTTGTTGTTCTTGTGGACAAAGATCTTGGAGCTGTCTTGCCGCAATTTCTAAAAGACGTAATGAAAGAACAGACATATCTTGAATATGATCAAAATATTTCAGAGGAGTTCTGGAATGCTATGACTCAGGCACTGAAAGAAATGTAATGCAAAGTCAAGTAGGAATGATCAGGCTTTATAAAATTTGAATGTGAAAAATATGAGACCAGCAGCCATCTGATGAAAGAAAAGTATATATGCGTTCAAATACATTAAAGTTTCTAGAGCGAGGAAAATAAATCATTTTTCAAGTTTTTTTTTCCTTTTTTCGTCGATTGTTCTTTCTTTGGAGAATATACTATATCAATGTTACTCTGTAATTCTGAATATCATTGTAAGTCTATATCTTCTTTGTGCTACATGAACAATATTAACTGTTTTGAGCTTGGAAAACTTTAAATTTTTAGTAGAAATAAAACTTGTTATAAAGAAATACGTTCCAGCAAAACACTCTTCAACAAAACAAAATTGTTTGAAAGCAGCATATTATTATTATCTTATATCATTGCTTATTATTTTAATAGATGTAAGTTTTGTGTATATATTTCAATTTCTAAATTTTTTTCTCTGTGATAACTCCTTGAAAGTTAGCGGAGTTGATTTCTTGATTATTCTACCGGAATGTAAATTAGGCAGGTCGATAGGTCAAAAGCAAAGGAGGCCTAATATGCATGCAAATCTCGTGCGCATCTGTCTCTGTGTCTGACGCTAAGAAGGCCAAATATGCATGTAAATCTCGTGCGACAGCCTTTGTGTTTGACGTCAGGGGGCGAGGACTATTGTAATTGGCATGGGAGTCCTTGTGTAATTAAATCTACGCACACATTTTTAAAACTCTAAATCTACAATTTTATTTCACAATGAAAAGGAAATATAAGGAATCACTGTCTAGTTAGTATAGTATGCTAGGGACGCCTTATTTCCTGAAATCTGATTAAAAAAATATATGAGTTAATTTTACTTCCCCTAATTTAGGACTGTATTTATTGTGGCAAATGGACGGTAATAATAATAGCAAATGTGAACAACTCCAAGTACTGGTATTTAAAGGGAACTTGATTATACCCGAATCATTTTATTTCTTTTTATTCTGACAGAATATGGGTTTCGGTGATGAATTTTTCACTATATACAAATTTTGATCTGAATTAATGAGGTTACATCATATATTTAAAAAGTTTTTCTGGCGGATCGCGGTTCATGTTACGTCCAAAAAGGTTTTTTGTGTGACGTTAGAAAGACACTGTAACTTGGAAAGCGATTCTCAAATTTCATACCACGAATGGTCTCCATTTGCATTCACACGTTTGACACCGGCGTCTCAATAATGACACTTAATTGTTCAAAAATACCTTGAGAATGTTGTTCCCGATATTGGTCAATTTCTGACCTTAATCGTCCAAGTCCAACAACAGGACGTCTACATTTAGGTTTGATGTTATGCTTGCAACTAGGCACAGTTCTTGCATTTTTGCGCCTACAGTAAGACCGGGGATGCTACGAGCAGTCAAACATCCTGTCTGAAAGCAATTTCTACTGTAGTGTTGGCAAATCGGAATATCCGGTTAAAATAGCACTGACTGTACCCGGTTACTCATGAACGTGTTACAGTTTCCGTATTTATTATTTATTTCATCATTTTACTTATTGGAAGAAATAAACAACAAATATATATGAACTTTACAAATTTACAAATACGAATACAAATACGAACTCAAAAAAAAAACCTACATACAATATCTTCGAAGAGTTTTGATTTTAAATGTCACTTGAAACGGGGAGTTTATTTTTGTTTAAGAAAATAATTATATCAACATATGAAGAATATATATATGTCGCGATCAAGGATAATCAACATACCCTGTAAATGCTGGTTGTTTTTGTTGAGCCTTTTGCAAGTCGATGGTTATCGAATTATGTTTAAAACTCAAGTAATTTAGCATATTTGCAGTTCAACCCGTAAAGGACAACAACAATCATAATTTGAATTTTGATGTTAGATTTACCGATGCAGTTGCTTTAACAATATTTCGCATGCAACGCTTTTCACAAATTGCGGAGGCATCTTGTTAAAGTGTGTTTTTTTCTCTAACACGTTCCTCTACTTAAACATGGGTATTTATTTCCTCAGGTTTTCAAAACGCGACCCCTGGCAATTAAAAAAATTAAACTAATCAAAACAAATATCCTTTTTTTGAACCACTAGGGTAATATGCGGTTAATAAATTAGAAGAAATGTGTCAATATACATTTACATAGCATTAAAATTATTTTAAACGTTTTCAGTATGTGTAATGTTAAAGACTTTTATCCGAGTAACCGAAACAGTTTTACTAACCGATACATATTCCATCGTTGACGGTTAACCGGTTAACCTGTTTTTTTTTCTAGATATATGAGTCTGATATGGTTATCTTGGCAAATCGCACCTATTGTTTGAAGTCATGAACGTGGTCGATCCAAAGTATTGCCGCTTTGTTGGAAACGTCACCATAATGACTGGATGGTGTTTCTATGAACACCAAATAGTCGTGCGACAATGTTCTTTGCCGTTGCAGCCTGCAACAAATCAATAGCACGAAGACATTGATTTTCACTCAGCCTTGGTATAGATCAGTTACAGATTCTTATGATTCTAAAGTGATTTTAGTAACTCATGAAACAGTGCCGAGCTCAAATCTATTGTCATTATTATCACTACCAGTATCTATTAATTAACCGCTTATAACTAAAAACAATATGCTTTGAGTTTTATGTTTAATTTACCGATGCATTGCTTCTTTTTTCTGCTATTATAGAGAACGCCAAATGAGGCATGCAACGAGTTAACAAATAGGGTAGCATCTGAGCAACATCTCTGAATTTCTATGGCTCTCGTTCCTCTACTTGAGTGGCAACATTGTCTGTTTCCAGATGTTTTCAAAACAGATGTTTCATTAAAAAAAAACTGAAAAGAAATGGTTTAATGAGATATTTTTGTAATATGTTGCAATTGGTCTTGAAGATAATGTTCCTTTCTGTCTCAGCTTCCATATCAGTGAGGGATCTTTTTCGTGCCAGCACCTACTGCGAAAAAGGGCCTCGTTTTATAAGGTCTAATCTGAAGGACCGATCTCCACGTCCCACAGTTTACTGGAACCAGTATGAGAACCAGAACCACATGGAAAGAGTTTTAAACTGCTGAAATTGCCATCTTGTTTTGAACAAGAGGCCCATGGGCCAAATCGCTCACCTGATCACATGGGGTAGTTAAAAAACACAAATTAGGTTAGTATCTTAGTATTGAAAAGCTAACTTGACGGGGGAGGGGGATTTGAATTTTCTATTACTTGAGAATGTCACTATATCAATAAAGCATACATGTATAATTTAGCCATACTTAAAACGAAGATTTTTTAAAGATTTTTTCAACATATTACTCGATCTCCCATTGCAACCCCCCTCTCCCGAACAATATTTGATAAATTTAAATCTTTATTACTTGCAGATGCTAAAATGTCAATTTGACTTAACAAAACTTTTCTGTTTTGGAGAAGATTTTTCCCATATCTTTAAGTATATTCATGTACATGTTTCTCATATATGCAGAACATCCCTCATTGTGGCCACACCCTAGCCCCCGGGGTCATGATTTTAATAAACTTGAATCTACACTATCTGCACTAAAAGCACCTAGACAAGAGTTTCCTCTTTCCTGGCCCAATGGTTCTGCAGAAGAAGAGTTTTAAAAGATTTTCCCTATAGATTCATATGTAAAACTTCACATGTGATCAGTCATTGTGGCCCAGCTCTACCCCCTGGAGTCATGATTTGAACAAACTTGAATCTACCTGAGGATGCTTCCACTTCCACATCCTTCCTGGCCTAATGGTTCTAGAGAAGCAAAACGATACCATTAATTTTTCATTAATTCATAATTATCTCCCCTTAGAAGAGGACTTGGCCCTACATTTGAGCACACTTGAATATCATTTACCCAGGAATGCTTTTTGGCAAGTTTGGTTGAAATTGGCCCAGTGGTTCTTGAGAAGAAGATGAAAATGAGAAAAGTTTACAACGACGACAACGCCAACGACAACGATGACAGACAAATTTTGATCAGTAAAACTCACTTGAGCCTTCGGCTTAGGTGAGCTAACAAAGCTGAAGGTAACTCCAGAAAAAAAAATCTTGCCATAACGAGGTATGCACTATTTCAAATAAGGACAAGAAAGATTCCATAAAAACTTTCGACAAGAGGAAGCAAGTAGAAGAAAACATAAACACTATTAATAGAGACATAAAAGATTTTGGTTTGAAATGTCCAAGACATAATCATGTCAACAGAATACTAATTCCTTCGCTTTTAGAAGCTAGAACAACTTAGACAGTCGACTCACCCTAAATACTCCAAATGTTCATTCTTGCTTAAGAAAGTTATCATTCTCAAAAAAAGAAAACATTACAAAATGATATTCCAACTCCTTGAAAAAAATTAATGATTCCGAGAAAGAATTTTGCTCACAGAAGACGTAGTCAAGCAAATTATCATAAAAATGTTTGTTTTGATCCATCTTTACATTATCCTGCAAATGATACAAAACCAAAGGACAATACTTATCAGTCCCCACAATTGTTTCCCTTTTCGTTTCCTTCAACCCCTAAACGAATCCTATCCCATTCTCCAATTAAGAAAATAGTCTTTTTCACCCAAGATCAGTACCAACAAGCACCACTACATGTAATATATATATATTTAGAAGAAAACAATGTCAATCCCTTTGAAAAGTGACATTATTTTCGTAGCAAGTGCAGTATGAGTTCAAAGCATTGCAGATGACACAAAAGAAACAGAGAGGATAAGGATAAAGATTGATTGATTGTATGTTGTTTAACGACCCTCTCGGGAATTCTTAATTTAGATGGACTCCACTTGCCGGTGAAGAACTACAAATTTTGTCATATACTCTGCACTCAGGGCCATTTAAGTAATGAATCATTATTTTTTGAGTGATATAGTTTCATAACTGCAACGGTGTGTGCAAACAAATTGAATAACGCGCGTTAGCGCGTTATGAAAATTTGTTTCCACACACCGATGCAGTTATGAAACTATATCACTCAAAAAATAATGATTCAATGCTTATATTTACATTTTCAAAACATTCTACCTTAACTGCAAATGTGATTTCTATTTAAAAACCTATGTATTATCCTTCGTGTAAGCTACATTTAATGGATCAGCCAACGTAACAGCCTCTGATCAATTTGAACGTGATTTTTTGAATTTCGCTTGTGACGTTGCACTTCCTTGGCGTTCAACGATTATGACGTCAAACTAAAACGCATGTTTTAACCTCTTGGCACCCTGTCTGTGTTATATGGTGTTTTGAATGCAATAGATTTCCATTCATTATACCCGCACTTTCTAAAGAAAGTTCGGGTATATTGTTGTTACTCATGTACG